GAACAGAAGTCTCTATATATATATATATATATAAAAAGATCCAAAGTTAAATTATACTTATCTTTTTCAGGACGTTAGTAGTTACAATTTAGAAGAAAAGGACATCTTGATTTGATTATTATTATCATTTTTTTTTGCTCTCTGTGAAAAATAAAACGAGTTCACTTTTTGTATCTATCATTTAATAAATCGTTTTTAATAGAAGATGGTTTTAATTTTTTGTAATTTTGTTTCTGTGTGTAAAATAAAAACGTTGGACTCGTATTTGCGAGAATGGAAGTAAGAAAGGCCGTGAAAAATCTCAGTGTATTAAATAATGACTGGTGCCCGTGAATCTGTTGGGGTCACAAAGTACTCCAAGTTCCTCTAACATATTAATACCTTTGTGGACGCTGAATTGGAGATTGATTGTTCCCTGATACAGGGCAAAATTATTATCCGTAGATGAAGGAATGGAGTATGATAGGGTCCTCTCTGTAAAACGGGCTGTGACGTGTGTGTGGCTGAATTCGTATTCTTGAAAAAAAAAACAGGAAACACATCCGTCACTTGATTTCAAGAAAGACTTGTTGATATTGACAACCGACATAAGTAAAAATAACATCATAAAAGGTAATGGTCGAAAACAGTCATTGTTGTCGAGGCCTTGTTATTAATCATGTGACAAGTTCCATAATTAACAAAGATGATCTAAATTTCTTTGGTTGTCATAAGCATAAAATTAATATAAGTTAAAAGTTAATTTTAGCACGTTAAATATTCATTTATCACTTATTTAATGGTACTTACCTTTGAAAATTTGTGTCACCTAGGTGTATAGTCAATCAAAATTTCGATTCCAGAGTGAACTCCTACAAAAGCAGATATGAAAAGTAAAATTCCCTCCAGATTTGAACGATTTAAGGAGTGTAACTAAATATAACTTTTTAGTCTTGCTGTTGTAAATCACTGAAAAACTCTTTTTTTATAAAAAGAAAAAGAAGGAGAAAAGAGTAACGAACAAAGAAAACTTAGATATTCAATGAATCAAAATTTTTTAAGTAAACAATTTTTACATTCAGTCCGCTTATTTAGTTATTATCAATAATCCTCGGTTATTATTAATAACAGCTGATTAGGATGGGAAAGGTAAAACCTTTCAAATACAGAATAAATCTATATTGAATACAATAATACAATGTTTAGTATACAGGGAAAGAGAATTTCAGAAAACGGTCCTTGACGTTAAAAAAATAAAATAAATGATAAGAAACACTAGTGCAGAGGGAAATGCCTGTTTTAGCTCTAAAAACAAATGACACAGATTGGTGTTGACTTCACAGCAGTTCCTTATTAATGGGGGGAGGGAAATCTGATAAATATTTGACCTACTAGGCCAGGGGTGGCGAACCTTTATGCACCAACGTGCAATTTTTTAAAAAAATTGTTTAATGAAGTCATAGACGTGCCGTAAAAAAATTTTGACTTCGTGATTATTGGGAAAATAATACGTATTACTAAACTGCTGTTTGTAGAAAATGCAACACCATGAAAGAATCATCAGAATCAAATGAAATTTAATGCAGAAACGACTTGTACTGATACAAATAAATGATGAAATTTTCAAAACAAAAGAAACAAATTAAGCGTCCGAAATCAGTATTTGGTGCAGCCACCACGCGCTGCAATAAGTGCTGCTATACGACGTGGCATGGAGTCAAACAGATGTTGAATATCTGCTTGAGGAAGAGAATTCCATATCGCTTGTATGCGCAACCAAAGTTCGTCTTTGGAAACTGCAGGACGCGGATCACGAGTGAGACGCCGACCAACCATATCCCACACGTGCTCAATAGGCGACATATCCGGCGAATAAGCAGGCCAAGGAAGAAGTTGCATGCGTTGTGCTGAACAGAAGTCTCTAACAGTCCGCGCAACATGTGGGCGTGCATTATCCTGCTGAAAGATAGCTCCAGGGATGCCTTGAAGGAAAGGAACGACTTCGGGCTGTAGCACTTCACGGACGTATCTGTTGCTATTGAGATTACCCTCAATTCGTATCAAATTGGATCGTCCATGATACGAAATCGCACCCCAGACCATAACTCCGGGTGTTCGACCACTATGTCGTTCAATAATACACTCAGGAAGGCAGCGTTGACCGGCATAACGTCTAACACGAACACGGCCATCATGGGTCCACAAATTGAAGCGTGATTCATCTGAAAAGACAACTTGGTGCCAATCAGCTCGCCAGTCTCTGTGCTCAAGAGCCCACTGCCGACGCAGCCGTCGATGATCCGCCGTGAGGGGAATCCTGTATAATGGCACCCTTGCACGCAATCCACGGCGCAGCAGACGACGACGAATTGACGAAGCCGACAATTGTACACCTGTAGCAGTAGACCAATGTGCTGCCAGCTGCCTGGAGGAAGCTGTGCGATCATTCACCGCCATGCGGAGCAGGTGTCGATCATCGCGCTCTGACGTCACCTTCTGTCGTCCAGTGCCTGTTTTTCGAGTTGTTCGGTGCTCGTCGGTCCACTGCTTCCAAACTCGCATCACTGTGGAACTGTTCCGCTGCATACGAGCTGCTATTGCGCGATAGGAAAATCCTCCTTCTCGAAGGCCGATTATCCTCCCTCGTTCAAACTCCGTAAGTTGCTTGAATTTCTTATTCTTCCGTCGTGGAGGCATACTCAGGTCTCACTAAACGTTTGCCACTAACAAATAATCATAGACTATTTTCAACGTCCCGCTACAGCACTTTATTTATACGCTTTCAGCATCAATTCAGAGGGCGCTGCGCGCGCCACGCACGCGCGATGGCTCTGAAACTTTATTAATTTGCATAATATCCTATATCCATTATTAAAATAATATTTCATTTGATTCTGATGATTCCTTCATGGTGTTGCATTTTCTACAAACAGCAGTTTAGATACTATCAGCTCCAAACTCTTTATTCACTATGAAAAAAGACTATATTTTGCAATGTCTCAGTTATACGCGCAATTCAACTTAAAGCAACATGACTCCTGTTGTTGCAGCTTAGATGACAAACAACTTTAGGTTGTAAGATGTTAGTTTAAGCAGGGACTGTTAATTTTTTTTGCTAGTTATTTATTGTTAGCTTGTTTTTTATGGTTATTGTTCATTTGATATTAGTTATTAATTTTTTGTAAGTAATTGGTTTTTTTTTGTGAATTATAATTTTATTTGTTAATATGCTTCATAGTGAACTTCGTGATCTGTGGCGTGCCCAGAATATTGTGTCACGTGCCATAAATGGCACGCGTGCCATTGGTTCACCATCCCTGTACTAGGCCTAAAACCACATTAGTGTTTTCTCAGAGATTCGTCTATGAAGGGCAGCAAAAACCCTTATAATTTTTAGGGCCTAGGATTTTTCCTATTTAAGGGCAGTATTCAACTCCTGTTTCATTTGCATTGTAGATGCGATCACTTTCTAAAAGGATATCAGGATTACTTCCCCCTTCAAGATTCCTCTACAGTTCTTTAATCCACTCTTGAATATTAATATCTGTAAGGTAAGTTTTGCCTTTTGAAATTATCTTCGCATTGCGTTATCAGTGGATGCCGTCGTGAAAAGAGATTCTCCCGTTTTTCATCGGGATAATTGTCTTTAAAGGGATTTTTCCTACCTGTTTCTGTCAACCATAAAGACCGGATTAGGATAATAATTTAGCCAATTATAGGCACAAAAATCTTTTCAAGAGATGACTAATATAAAAAAATTACCAAGTGATTTATGAAAATGATCAACATCACATTACGGATTTATTATTCTTGAAAAAAAATAAAAAAACCGAAGTTTTTAGACACGCATTTTAAGTGGTTTCCATTTTTGTTAACAGGAATGTTATATTCTTTAAACACGCACTTAGAACTGTTTTCATTTTCGTAAACACGCATTTTCAGCTGTGTCCACTGTTGTAAAGACTCATTTTAACGAGTATTTTCATGCGTCTATTTCTGTAAACACATATTTTGAGCAGAGCACACTCTTGTAAATACGCATTTTGAGTTCTGTTCATGCTTAAAAAGGTGTATTTTGATATGTCTATTTCTGAAAACACGCATTTTCAGCTTTGTCCACTCACGTAAATGCTCATTTTAAGTTCTACTTAGTTTCATAAGCGTACATTTTGAGCTGTGTCCATTTTCTTAAACACGCATTTTGAGCTCTGTCTAGAATAAAAAGTTAAACGACAGGATTTTTTTTAAATATAGAATTCTTTTTAATTACAACTATTACATACCTGCTAACTCTTCCGGATTTTCCAGAGCATTTTATTTTTATATTTAATGTGGTAAAACAATTTGTGGATTCATGCTTGATTCCAGTATAAAAAAAATTATTTAAGATATTTTTGACTATCATTACTGAAGTACTTTGTACAACTAAAAATTCTTTTCACAACATTTTAAAAATATCTAATTTATTTAATTCGTATATACAGAGAAACAGCTGGCAAAGAATTCTGCTAAACAACATTACAAGTTAAAAAACATTTTGGCAAAAAAAAAGAACGAATTCTAAAAAGAAACAAAAATAAAAAATGCTGTTGCCAGTCATAAAAATTTTTGAAAAATAACTTAGCATAAATCAAAAGGGCAACTAGATCATACAAGCGCAGCTAGATCAAAAAGTGCAACTTGAGCGCTTGACGTAACAATTACATTTAAATAGTTTAAACTTACATGTCGAAGACCGGCGGTTATCTTGTTGTATTTTAAATGATGGTGAATTAAATAATTGTCTATAATTGTGTATTTCTAAATATAACCTTGTTACATTGAAATGCGTAATCAAATTATAACAAGTAATAAACATTAAAAAACAAGTTAATTAAATAACAAGTAATAATGTAAAAATTGATCATTAATCAAAAACATTTCACTGTTGAATCATTACTGTTGTTATCAATTCTGTTATCAATTCTACTTATCTAGATGTTCATGCCGCCTGCATTTATCGTTATTTTTCATTGACTCTTTTCACATGCAATGTGCGAAATGATACAGACTGAATAATTTATGATCTAAAATCGGATTATTTACGTACTAGGACTCAATCTTAATGATTTACGAGAATGACCTCAAATATGATATGTTATTAGTGCAGACACTATATAAAGTTATGAAATCAGACACAAAAACGCCCTTTCTTTGAATAAGTTCTTTCTTTCTTCTTTTTTCCCCGAAGGATTCGGTTTTCTAACCCTCAGAATATGGGGACTTGCCGCAATCTGGGAAGTATGGTCTCCCAATAGTTTGGTCATGGGAGCTGTAGAAAGTCTAAACCCCTTAATTTTAATATTACTTTTTGCCGTGAGAACTTTTTAAACGAATTGAAACTTTTGGGGGCACACGATTAGAAAATTGATTTACCCAAAGATAATAAACATACAAAGATAATAAAGAGAACAAACAAAAATAATTTTTAGGAATTATTTATTATTTTTTTATATAAATAGTCTGAAAAATTTTGACTTGTATTTTTACATCATTTAAAAAATTTCGTTTTATTTTAAGTGGCAAAATATGAAGAAATTTAATCAAAATTGGTTGAATAGTTGAGATTTTAAAAGTTAAGACTGTCTTTTTGAATAAAATTTTAAATGGACCACTTTTTCAAATTTTGATTTTTCAGTAACAACTCGATCGATTTCGCTAAAATTTTGTATTTTGCCTTAGGACCATTGGGACAAAAGTTATTCAGAGTGTTGTGTTTTTTATTTTTATTTTGCGCAGGTTTCAGTAGTTTGCACTTTCTACTTTAATTATTTTATTTTCTTACTTCAAAATTATTTGAATTGAAATAAATATAATTACAGAGGAAGTTTGTGTCTTTAAATTTTAAATGTGACCATAACTTTTGAATGAAAAATATAAGTCGCGGAAAGTGTCCCCATGTTCAGTACTTTCCCTTAGAAGAAAAGAATTGTATATTTACCCTAAGTCCGCAGTACTAGACAAAATAAACGGTCGCCACCTGCCAGAGAGTGAATATGGAACAATTGTTGATTTAAATATTGTCTGCCAGTCGCCACTTTTTTCATCGAAAATGTACCCGTTGTGTATTTTGTTACAAATTTTTTTCTAATAAATTAATAAATGTGGAATTAGCGTGAATCTTTTTTGAATTAATTTTGAAATAAATTCAGTTACAATTTATTTTATAGAAATCTTCTAAAAATGTTTCTTCATGTTAGATATGAGCCTTGTAATGTTTAACATACTTACTGAAATGCTATCGTATATATAATACCGAATAATGTCGTAAGGTGTTCTTTAAAACACCTTAAGATAATTATATCAACAGCTATTTAGAATAATTATACATGATAACAATCAATTACGATAATTATATCAACAGTTTTCTTAAAGATTTAAAACTATCAATCTTTTTTAAAGCAAATAGTCACTTGCCAGCCGTAAAATTTTGTATATTTTTGCAATTCAGAGTAACGCAAACAGTTTTAGAATTTAAATTAATGCGTATTAATTTGCTTAACAGCTGCGTGAAGGGATATAAATACAACTTACATCAAACGATGAACTGATATAATTTTTCTTTGTAAAACTGACGGTTTTATTTTTTTCTCCGAATGCGCGATCATTTTGTTGATTTACAAAAAATATTAAAATGATTTTAAAAACGCAAATGAAATAATGTTCTAAATATGTAACTATTGTTCGCGTGTACGATAACTCTGATAAAAAAATACTCTTATCAAATAACTAATGGATATTTCCTAAAATCAAGATTGATTTTCCACACATATATATTGAGATAAAATTAATTTCCTTATAAATATATATTTCCATTTTATTAGTTGCGAGATAAATCAAGTTCAGCTCGCTAAAATTCAAATATGGCAGGCCAGTGTCGAATCGTCATATTATTTTTGTGCGTAGGTCTGCTTAATTCCGTGTTTGGAAATGATTGTGGTTGTGACAGCAGCGAAGAAATCGTAACCGAAAGCTCTCGTGAAGTTGGTAAGTAAGTTTATGCAGGTGACATAAAAAAACATGAAGCAAAATTAGTAATTTTTGTTACTGTGGTCAGTAGTAGCATTTTAAACATTGGCCACTTAATAAGAAATTTTAAAAAAAATTTACGATTAAAAAAACAATTGATATTAGCTATGACTTTTGAAGCATTTCTTGGCAGACGCTGTAATATTCATTTATAAAATGTAGAAAAATTTAAGAAGCAAGCAAACAGTAATTTTCAGAATATTATAAAATGTTCATAAGAATTCCTGATTCCATAAAAATTCTATAAAATATTACTAATAATTCCAAAATAATTATTCTAAAATGCACAAGGGGTGCATTTTTGACTAAAAAAGTGGCGATCGAGTGGAAACTAACAGGTAACTGTCTTATCGTCGTTCGTTATATTTAGTCACTCTGCGGCTTGTGGCGAAAAAGTGGCGATTGGGTGGAAACTAGCAGCAATTGTTTAATCACTATTCGTTACATTTGGTTGTTGCGTGCCTTGTGGCAAAAAAGTGGTGATTGGGTGGAAACTAGTTGGCCACTGTTTAAACATAATTCGTTATATTTAATCACTCTGTGCCTTGTGGAGACGGTAAATTCCGCCCTTCAAAACAAAATTTGAGTAAAAAACTTTTTGTGATATCATTTATTTACTGAATGCATTTGATTCTTTTGTATATTAATTTGAAGTGGCATATTAATTTGAATGCATTTGACTCTTGGCGATTTGTTTGAAGTTGTTTTTTACGACTAATAATCCGTGTAACAAGTAAAAATACATTTTGGTAATTTCAAATTATAAAAAAAAGCATTCTAATTGTTACTAAAGAAATCTATTAAATTATCTGAATTATATTTGCCCTAAAATATAAAATCCAAAAAAAGTAGTTTGAAAAAATATTTTTCATTGATCTTCAATTTTTCATTTTGCAAATTAAAAAAATTTCAATCATGAATATCTCTTTCTCTTAGATATTTAATGACTGCAGATAAGTGCAAATTGTTAAAAATTACTGTTTGGAAGAAGGCCATGACTGGAAGATTTTACCTTTAACGCAGAAAAACACACCGGTGCTTCATGCTGTATTTCATCAACATCAATTATTAAAATGATATGTTTTTAACTTAATTTGATTTAAACTAATGTATTTCAAGTATTTTTTATGGCAACATTTTTTCTTCCTCTAGAAATCTAACGACAAATTGTTTGAAATTTAGGATTTATTTTTAAGAACCAAAAAGTGATTCTCTCATGCTCTGTAAAAGCGAATTCGTTATCGCGTGCGATTTTTTCGCAAGCGATAATAAAATCGACAATTTTACAATTTACAATTGTGTTTTGCTATTTTTTGCAATTTGTTTTGCTTAAATTTACATTATCAATAATTTAATTATCCGCATTCCATTTTTTTATCAATATTATGTTCAAACTAAAAATTCTAACTATTTAAAATAATTCAGATATCTTCACAAGTGAAACACCTTGTGAATCACCCCTGTTGCAATTTAAAGAGGTTTAACTGATCTCTGATAATATAATGAAGGCTCGGAGATGTATGTGAACGTCAGAGAAGAACTGGATTGAATTTTTATCATTATTGTAGAGGTCTTAATGCAATATTTTCTTCAAAATATAGATCAAACTATTGAATAAAATATTGAACGAAAAATTGTTAATGTGAAAAACTTTTTGACCAATAGCAAAGATAAACCCATTTCATTGCACAAAAGATGAGGGAACTTTCAGTTCCACGGATCGATAGCGATTATTTAATATCTATCGTATATCATTTGCAATTAATGCGCACTATATCTAAAATATTTAAACCTCTGATAGAAATTATTGTTTGCAGTTCTAAATATTTTAATATTTTGTAATGCTTAATGGATACGGTACTTTCAGTTACACGAATCAATGTCGATTATTTAACATCTATCATGTATCATTTACAGTAAATATGCATTATATCTGTACTAATTAAGTCTCTGTAATGGAAGTTAATGATTGAAATTTCATATAATTTAGCAATTTTGTTTGTTTAATGGATACGGTACTTTCAATTTTATGAATTGGTGGCAATTATTTAACATCTATCATGTATCATTTACAATAAATATGCATTATATCTGCACTAATTAAGCCTCTGTAATGGAAGTTAATGTTTGTAATTTCATATAATTTAGCAATTTTGTACGTTTAACGGATACGGTACTTTCAATTTTATGAATTGGTGGCAATTATTTAACATCTATCAGGTATCATTTATAATAAATATGCATTATATCTGTACTAATTAAGCCTCTGTAATGGAAGTTAATGTTCGCAATTTCATATAATTTAGCAATTTTGTGCGTTTAATGGATACGGTACTTTCAATTTTATGAATTGGTGGAAATTATTTAATATCTATCATGTATCATTTACGAAAAATAAGCATCATATCTAAAGTGGTTAGGACTCAGTAATAAAATTACTGTTTGCGATTCTATATATTTTATTACTGTATATAATTGCAGATAACACTGAAAAAATTTTATCCGACTGTTCTTAATTTGTTTTATTTTATAAAGTTTTGCCATTAATAATTTATTTAAAAAAAATTTATATGTTCATTCAAGAATTTATATTCCAGAGTGTGACTGTGGACCTGGAAGTTTAGAATGCTGTTATGTTAATGGTACAAAGCATTGTGAGTGCATAGAAGGATATGCTCAAAATAAAGACATTTGTGAAGGTAAGAGCTTTCTTAAATTTCTGTTTACAACGGCGAATTGTGAAGACAAATATCTTATGCAGAGTGCGATTTGCTGATTTTGGTTGGACAAAAGATTTTTTGCAAAACTACTAATTACCTGAAAATTTGCATGCTTCAGCTGCAGGTAAATAATGGGCAGTGAATATAAAAGTTCAATAAGAATAGCTCAATTATTATTTACAAACATGTTTAGACATTCTACTGGTAAACATCAAAGATATCTTCGTTTATTGCGTAAATGTTTTGTAGTAAAATCACAAAAATATGGTATTTCACTAACAGGAAAAATTATAGCTTGTAACTACGATCCTAACTCGTAACTTAGAACTAAACTGCGAAAAGTAGTTGTCTATAGCTGCAAGTAACTATCAATAATTTTAACGTTATGGCTGGAAGCAATATGTAACAGCAATTGCAGTGGATGAAAGCAGATTAGAGTTCAGTAGAGTAGTTCAACTGCAGTCAGAAAAAAAACCCTAAGATTTACGGGTTTTAAGCCGGAGATGTTCTCAATTAGAATGTAGTAGTCTTTTTTACTGATCAATTCGTAAACTTGTTGCAAAAATAGCTCTGCTTTTGCAATCAACAATATTATAATTTCATTCATATTATAATTTCAAGAAATTTGTAAATATGTATTTACATTCCAGAATGCAATTGTGGACACGGAACTTTAGAATGTACTTTTGCAAATGGCGCAAAATTCTGCACATGCAAATCAGGTTACGTTCTAAGCAAGGACGTTTGTCAAGGTAAGAACTTTACTTAATTGATTTAGTGAAATCAGTCTTTGTGAAGACAAATATTCTAGGAAAGGGATTATTTACTATTTTTGCACCCATAATTTTAGCATATCTATCGAATAAGGTGTAATTTTGTGCGCCGTAGCTATGAGAAAAACTGTAATAATTAAAATGCTATACAGTTGCGAAAAAGTACAGACTAAAAGCTCTTACTCCGAGCTTAATTGCAATCAAAACGGAAGACATTCTTGAGACAAATATTAGTGAATCCCTTGATTTAAAAGCGTCCCGTATGGTCTCGCTTGTAAAATAACAACAAAGTCGGTACGGCTTGCGGTATCTGAATTCGAAATTGTAAACATCAGCTGAAAATTTTATTCCATTCTATTTTCCGCTGGAATTTAGTTTCTTTCTTTTTAATTAATTAATAATTTTCAAATAATAATTTTAAGAGATTTAATCTTCACAGATTCCTTTGTAAATGGCACAATAAACTGCATATGCGAATCTGGTTATGCTCTAAACAGGGACGTTTGTGAAGTTAAGAGCTTAACTTAGTTGTTTCAGTGAAACCATTCTTTGTGAAAGAAAATATTCTATGAGAGGAATAATTTATTGTCTTTGTATGACTCATTATTTCGTAAAAACAAAGTTACACATTAAACTGAAATTCTATATGCTACAGATTCGAAATAATCAATTATGGCTTTAATACTACAGGTGGGAATAAAATCAAATTAAGAGTTGAAAAGCTATGCTCAATTACTATCAAAACAGCAACTCAAAGCATTCTCGAACCAAACATGAAAAAGATCTTTGATTAGAAGGCTTAAGTCTCCTGCATGGTCTCATTCATAAAATAATAGTAACGTTGATTTTTGTTTCGGCAAATGAATTTAAAATTGAAAATACCCTCCAGAAAATTTATTCAACAGATAAAACTTTTTAGCTTCGTTTACTAAATTTGACAATCATTCAGTTGCAACATAAATATAACACTAGAACAGACGAACTTACCTAAAACGCCATTTGGTGTCAAATTTTTTACTTAATGGATATTGTTAAAAATATAATATATAAAGTTTTTGATGATTCAAAACTTAATTTTATTCTCGCAATGTTAATATAATAATACAGTATATTATTGAATAACAGATTATTCTTTGGCTGGAGAGCAAGTCATACGAAAATGAACGTGACATACAAATATAGACAAAATACAATAACATGCATGTTTAAAAATGTCGCTCCAACATTGGTTAAATAATAGCGTAGACCAATCGTAGCATATCAATGTGACATAAAGTAGTAGTAAAATATCGATAAATTTGTTTCTAGAATCTCACATTGCTATCAGAAGTTTTATTATGTCTTTTACTAAGTTATAAGGGTATTTCTTTAATTTTAGAGAAGGAATTTCATGATTTAGGGCTTATCTGATGTGCAAAACATTTTTAGTTGTTCTTCAACCAGCTCAAGAATGAACTCGCAAAACATTTTTTAGTTGTTCTTCAACCAGCTCAAGAATGAACTCGCAATGCGTAATTAAGGTGTCAAAAGATTCTTTGAAAACTATTCAAGCATTGAGGTCATTAATATCATAAACGTTGTAAAAAAGCGTGCAAGCCACCTCCAAGTTTTAGAATATAGAATAATTTTTAGCATCTAGTGTGCTAACGTTTTATTCGATTATGTCTAATCTATGTTGTCGCTTGCAAATTCAATCACATGAATAATATGCAGAATTGGGACAATTTTACTTCACAAAAACATTGAGTCTTTTGTTTTGATTTTTCAGTGCAAAATATGTATGTCAATCTTAAAGGGTGACATAGAAAATAAGAGTGTTCTCTTAGTCAGACGTAAAATCCGGATTCTGTCGGCATTTCTTTTAAAGAAAAGAAATTATCTACAAGATGAACGAAATTTGAATGAATTGGATGAACGAAATTTATGATTGAGTGCATAATTTTTTTCAATTTGCTTAAAAAGTTCTCTAGATGTAGAAAAATACGCAATAAGTAAAATTAACTTTAAGGCCAAACTATTAGGATCAAACTATTTGGTCTCACGACCAAACTATTAGGACCATATTTCCTAGACTGCGGCTACCTCCCATATTTTGGGGGTCAGAAATACGAATCCGTCAAATAAGAGGTATGTTTAGTCGAAGAGAGTACGTTTTTGCGTCTGATTTCGTAACCAAAAATATCGTCTGCACTTATTAATTAGCATATTTGAGGTCTCGGTTATTGAATAAAAAATTATTCAGGTTGGTCCATTTTATTTTATTTTATTTTTTGGCTCATTTTCACACTGCAGTCTTTCAAAATCAAAGACGATTACGAAGCTTCTAAAATTTAACATATTTCTTACGGGGGTTAAAATTTAGGTGTTTTTTCTTGTGACTGTTTTAGGTATTTCTATGATTACAGTGGGTGATCGGTTAACGAACATAATCCGTTCCAAGACTACGTTCGCTCTCCGAATTGTTCGTTAACCGATCATCGATTCACCATAAACTTCTATGTGAAATCGATTAATTCGTTCTGGAGACCCTAAAAATTAAGTTTTAAAAAATGTATGATTTTTCAGTAAATTTTAAAAAATAATACATGCATGTAGTCTTGCATATTAATCAGTCCTTTTAATTTTTTGCTTATGGGGCGGTGAAGAACATGTCCAATGTCGATTGCTTTTCTCTCTTTTTCAGGATTTTCCGGAAGTAATTAATATCATTGTCGTTGTAAAGATCCCCAACCCTACTGCCATCAGCTTGGTTTGGGTGCCATTCTAAGACCATTGCTCTGACATCCTCCCACTTTTTCAAAAGATCTTTAATAGCAGATGTCGGCATTGGGGCACAAACTTTAAATAGCCATTCTTTGAAAAGATACTGCGTGACCCATGCCTTCTGATTCGATCTCCACAGGAATTTTTTTTAATGCTCTGGGATTCTCAGAGTGGTAAACGAGAAGTGGTTTAAGTTTCATATCACTACTAGCGATAGCTCCCAAAAGTAACGTTAATCGGTCTTTCATAGATTTATGCCCAGGAACACTTTTCTCATCTTTCGTGATGTAGGTACGGTTCGGCATGTGCTTCCAAAACAAACCAGTTTCATTACAATTAAATATTTGTTGTGGACGATACCCTTCTATTTCAATGAATTCTTGAAATTTGAGACAGTACTTCTCAGCTGCTTCTTTATCTGCACTAGCAGACTCACCATGCATTGATACATGTTTAATTCCTGACTTTCTTTTAAACTTTGTAAACCAACCAGTGGTAGCCTTGAATTCTAACTCCTCGGATGACGAACCTGGAGTTTTTTCTTTCAATTTCTCAAAAATTTCTCTAGCCTTCTCTTGAATGATAGGCATACTAGTTACATCTCGTTTCATTTCCCGTTCATTTATCCAAACTAAAAGCAACCTCTCCATTTTATCATGGATGGCACTTCTTTGCTTCGCAGATGTGATTTTCGTTACTCCTTCATTCTCCATAATTCAAGTTTCATTTAGTAATTATCAATACTAAGCATGCTTTAAACATTTCTCCTTTCAGTGATCTTATTTTGTATGCAAAATGATAACAAATGTTTAATATTAATTTTTTTTCAGGCCGAGAAGTGTTCGTTAGAATTCGTTTTGTTCATTATCCGAATATGTGTTCGTTGTCCGAACACAAAAAATTCCTTCTTGAAAGTGTTCGTTATCCGAATATGCGTTCGTTATCCGAACACAAAAATCTTTCGTAAAAGTGTTCGTTAACCGATTTGTTCGTTAACCGATCTGTTCGTTAACCGATCACCCACTGTATTTATTTTAATAATCAACATAACAGCTTAAAATTTTGTTACAGGATACTTTGAAACATTTATTGAAAAGTTCAAAATTATGAGCTTCGCAGGTCTCATGTATCTTCAAAAACAACATAAGAAAAGACAAAAAAATTATCAAAGTGACCCCATCGGCACTTCCAGCCTTAAGTAATTAGATTAATTACGTATATTTCTTTCAGAGTGCAATTGTGGACAAGGATCTTTAGAATGCTCTTATATAAATGGCAAAAAACATTGTACATGCAGATCAGGTTACGCTCTGCACAAGGACACCTGTGAAGGTAAAAGCTTTACTTTATTGTTTTAGTGAAATCAGGCTTTGTGAAGACAAATACTCTTCTAAGTATGGTACAATTTACTATTTTCGTGCCAATGCTTTCAGCAAAACTATACTCATTTTTGTCATAAAATAGTCTGTAAATAGCTATGGTCAAAGATTATAATCATTAAAACTTATTTATTAAATATGTTTTGGTACTACCTTGACTATCCCATATTAGATTCTCCAAGATTCACCAGATATGCTAAGATTATTGAATTTGAAGATAGCACTGTAGTACTTTCAAGTTTTGCCAGTTTTATCGATTCCTAATGAGTTAAACAAGTCCCATTATATATCCATAATAATATTGAGATCATAGTTGTTATGTTCTTATCTTAATTTTACGAAGAGTGAATTACATTAGAAACCCTCCCCTAATTTTCTCTTCGATGGTTTTGTTCATAAAATTGCATCAAAAATAATTTTGCCCATAGCAAGTCAGGATTGTAAATATCTCCCTAAATTATTGCAAATCTTAGTTATAGAACATTTATTGTTTTGTATTCGTAACTTATTCAATCTAATTACTTAATATTAAAAAATTAAGTAATTTGATATTTGTGTATTTATATTTTAGAGTGTAATTGTGGGCTTGGAACTTCAGAATGCTCGTATATAAATAGTACAAAACTCTGTACTTGTAGATCAGGTTACGCTCTAAGCAATGGCGTTTGTGAAGGTAAGAACCTTTATTTATGTAAGTAAAGCCAGGTTTTGTGAAGATTAATATTCTGTAGTTTAATATTTTTACACCAATGCTTTTAACAAAACTGCTGAATTAGCTGTAATTTCCATGCGAGTAATTTGCTGCTGCAATATTCATATATTCTTAGGAAGGAAATCATACGTTATCAGTCCTGCAAGCATTTTGTTTTCATAATTCATTTTAGGTAAAAACATGTAGGTAAAGTAGGTTGTGTATAAATAAAAATATGTTTCTAATTTTTGGCCATCATAAAAGTCACTAAAAAATGTTTTATTGGTACATATTCATCTAGACATTTTACAGACATAGTTTTCTTACTTATGCTTTCGTTGGCGAGCGTTAGCGAGTAGGGGGCGCAGCCCACTAGTATAATGTAATATAATATGATATAATATAATATAATCTCGATAAATTCGCAAAATTGAAATCCAACGTTGTTTTCATGCTTTATTTACATTTCTTTAACTTTTATAATACATTGAATTTTTTTCAGAGTGCAATTGTGGAAATAATTCAAAAAGTTGTGAGCTGAAAAATTCTTTGAAATTCTGCACTTGTAATTCCGGATACGTATATAACATTGGCAAGGATGAATGCGAAAGTAAGTAAGAAAACAATTTTATCGATAAATTATAGGAAATCATTGGTTTTAAACTGTTAAAATTAAATCATTTTTAATTGGGAACACAACACCATAAAGTTAATCCTACAAAGGTGTGGTTTCCTTTGAGAATTTTAAGATTTTTTTAAAAATTAAGAAAACACATACAGGAGGGGGGGAGACAAATGAGGTTGACGAAGATAAATGGGTTATACTTTGAAATGCAGTTGCATACAACACACGTAATTCCTAAGAATCAGAAGAAAAAACAATGTCTTGAGGGTGCAAAATTAAGTGTCAATATGGAGCTTTCATTGATAACAATCGTTTTTATTTACTAACACAGAAGTAATCATAGTATTTAACAAGATAAATACATATTTTTCAGAAGAACAATTGTAAAATGTACTCTTCTGGAAATATATTAGTGCCTCTGCCACTCAGTTGACATTGAATATTGATTTGTCAAACTAATTCGACAAATTTTGGCTTAATAATAAATCAATAGTTTGCTTTCTGCTAAGTAAATATTAAAAACGCACTTCTAATGTAGTAAATTGCATTTGTTATCTATTTGCAGCATGTTTCACAAAAGATAATTTACTCGAGACTATATTTTAAAAATAAAATTTATTAAATTTTCATTTTTCTTGCCTTTCATTTAGTAAAAATGGAGTAAATACTTAATTATATGATTTATCCTTACCAACTCTATGCTATGAGACTTGTGCGAATCGCAAAACATAAGTTTATTTAAAACGTATAAATCTAAATTGTATATGGTTCGGAGATGGGAATGTAAGACTTTCAAAAATGAAACAATATGGCAAAGAAACATCTAATATATATATAATTCTCTTACGTGGCTCCCAAATTTTGGCTGTATTTCTTTTCCGCCGGTGGCAACAGTTTTGATTTTCAAAGAAGTATTTTGTACAACTAAATAAGATTCTTTTCACAACACTTAAATATTTACTTTATTTTCTTAATATATACAGAGAACAGTCGGCAAAGAATTCTGTAAGGTTAAAAAACATTTCGCTGAAAAAATAACGAATTCTAAAAAAAATAACAAACTCTAAAAAAAATAAAAAACTTAAAAAATAAAAATACTGTTGCCAGCTATAGAATTTTTTGAAAGTTAACTTAGCAACATAAATCAAAATGACATAGAAGCGCAAGTAGATCAAAATTATGATACCTGAGCACTTGACGTAACAAATCCTTCAATTCTATAAGTGTTGTATCGCCAAATGCCCAGATAATATTGAAATGTACTGGTTTAGAATTTTCTACACTGAAAAGTTTTCAGAACTTCAGTATTCAAAAAAGTATACAAAAGCTAGACGTTAAGAACGTATCCAGTGAGCGAGCAAAGCGAGCATTGGATTGCGAAGCAATCCGAAATGAACTGCGAAAACAGTTCCGGGGGTTAGCGAGCGCCAGCGAGTATGGGGCGAAGTCTCCTAGTCCTCTTTAATATTGAAAGATAACAAACCATCTACGAAACTTCACAAACTCCAATTAACAAGTTATTCTTTAAAAACATTAAAAGTTGTTATTAAAAGAACAATTAAAAACTTTAACTTTTGATTGTAAATATCGCATTCTGCAGGTGGGCGTCACCGGGAAGAAATGGGATATCGGGACGAAGTCTCGGACGCTGCACAACAACCTCTCTCGAAGGCAAACTGTCATCTGCTTAAATACTGGACTTCAGCCTTTTCACTCCCTGCCTTGGCCGCCGGTTGATGCTCCTCCGCCGGTATTCCTCCGCGCAGGAACTATTTCGGTTTGTCCTCCTACCTTCGGTCTTCGTTCCAATCCTCGATCCTTCTACCTCAGTTTTTCCTGCAATCTGAGCTGACGCAACCAACAGCCTCTACATAAACTATTCCTCAATGGTACTACAATTTGGCGTGGATAATGGCCGTCTCCAAAACAGATTTCCATTTTGATCGATCTGATGCTTTTATTTTCCAGTTCTTAATTTGAAATGTTTAAAGGTCCTGTTATAGACAATCCCTTTAAAGGTCCTGTTATAAACGATCCCTTTAATGGTCCTGTTATAGACAATCCCTTTAATGGTCCTGTTATAGACAATCCCTTTAATGGTCCTCTTATAGACAATCCCTTTAAAGGTCCTGTTATAGACAATCCCTTTAATGGTCCTCTTCTAGACAATCCCTTTAATGGTCCTGTTATAAACAATCCCTTTAATGGTCCTGTTATAGGCAATCCCTTTAAAGGTCCTGTTATGAACAATCCCTTTAATGGTCCTGTTATAGACAATCCCTTTAAAGGTCCTGTTATAGACAATCCCTTTAAAGGTCCTGTTATAGACAATCCCTTTAAAGATCCTGTTATAAACAATCCCTTTAATGGTCCTGTTATAGACAATCCCTTTAAAGGTCCTTTTATAGACAATCCCTTTAATGGTCCTGTTATAGACAATCTATATATTGTAGTTTTAGTCTTCTTCTGGTTCGTACATCCTATGATTTAGACATGATAACTTGTTTTGACATTCCTGTTTTCTTCCATTCTGACAAGGTGTTCTGAACACTTTAACCATTGTATTTTAATGAACTTCACAACATCTGATTCTTTACAGATTTCAAATAGTTGGGGATTGTTTCTTATATACCAAAGCCATTAATTTTGCATTCTCTTAATACTTCGAAATGCTTTGGTTTCAAAAATTGAGAGAATTTCTTCATCTTTCTGAGTGAGTGTTTACGTTTCCGAAGATAGGACAGTTCGAATTATGTATTTATGAAACATGAAGTTTTGATCCGATCTTAAATATTTCTTTAAGGTATATTCAAATTAACTTATGTATTATTCAAAATAACGACAAGCGTTAAGCAGAAAAGAAATGCTAAATGTCTTCAAAACGGTAATTAGTAAGTTCGTTTTGCCTATGTCAGCATACACTGTTGAAAATTTCGAGCCACGCTGCACAAAAAATATGTATTCATTCACTGTTTACAAAACATTTGCTGGCTGCATAGCTCAATTTTACCATATATTGGTATACATTCACTAGCCCCAAATATCTGTAGAAAGTTGCACTAAAAGTAGGTGTTTTGAAAGAAAGAAAAAAACACCTATTTTCATTATTTTTCTTCTTTTATAAAAGAATAGGAAATTTGCACTATAATTAAGTATTTTTAAAGCGCCTAAATGCAGGCCAAGGCTGCTATTTTCCATAACAAAACTATTTATAGTAAGTAGGTTATGTTATGACATATTTCTAGCAATTTTATATCTCCAACCAAATTTAAAAGGGCAACATAAAGGAAATGAAATTTAATGAAAATAAAATCTCAATCTACCTAAATAAGTTGACATTTAAAAAAATATACCGAATCGTCCCGATACACCGAGATCGAGCTGTAAAGAAAACATGGCGTCATAAGCAAATATCGTTTAGTTTACAGTCACCGTCTAAGTTTTATATCAAATTTTGATGCTGTCAGTTGCACCATGGAAGTATTTCTGGATAATATTTCACAATTTATGGTGTAAATGAGATAAAATGATCTTTCATTTAACCAAATTTTTGGATAATGAGAAACTTTGCAACAAATACTGGTTAAGGATTTATCGAATTTTTTTACATTGTATACTCTATATTTTTGCATTTATCTACATGCTTTTAACTAAACAAAGCAAGTCAACCAAATAAGCTGTTGTAAACAAAGTGGCAGTATAACCAAAAATGATTTAAAACCTCTTTTTTTTTAATATCTGAAAATATCTGACGTAAGAATTTTCTCAATTTTTTTTCTATCTGCGATGTTTTTAATTAAATAAAAAATATTCTTACAGCAATGATAATATAGATATTATTACCAAATTATGATCCCATTTAATATCGAAAATAATTGTGCTATGTAGGCGATGAAAAACAGGCGTGCGTGAAGGAGGATATTTCATTCAAAAATAGAGAAAAAATATTGAAAAGAAAATTTTGTTTCATTACTATTAAGAATTATTTACTAAGCAATGACTTTTCTTTTCTCGTGAGTGAAAAAGATTATACTGTTACATTTTAAAAACTTTCTTCATTGATAAATTTATTAATTTTTTTTATTTTTATTTTTCTTTAATTATTTTATTCTGTTAATTTATTTTGCATATGCTATGCTATATAATACATTGAATTTTTGACAGAGTGTGATTGTGGTGCTAATTCAGAAAGTTGCCAGATGATAGGTACTTTAAAGCTGTGCACTTGTATTTCTGGGTACATATACCACCCAATTAAAAATGAATGCGAAAGTAAGTAATATAATTTTATCAAAACATTATGAATTATTATTTTACTTCATGATATTTTCATGTTTGTCCCCTGCTTTAAGTATAATATCATTTAATTATTAAATTGAATAAATTTTCTTGAGACGAATAGTAATTGTCTTTAAAAAAACGGACTTTTCTCTATGAATTTTAGGATCTCATAATAAAAAAGACAAACACATTTCTTTAAACTATTATGTATGTCTTTTATATTCATTGTAAACAAATTTATAATGGTTTCACGTTCTACCCATTCAGTACACTTTTTCCCTCTCCGTTACTAGAGATGCAAAAAATCATGCTTTTTCGCCACGGCAGTATGTTTTAATAAAAAGTGAAAAAAATAAGATTAGCGAATAAAATGGTAGCAGATAAGGGAAAAGTGTAGAGAGTGTGGAAATCGTGCAATCTCGAGACGCCTATTCTATTTACAGAGTATAACTAACTAAAACTACTAAATAAAAAATTATATGAGACAACCTGAGACGCCTATTCCATTTACAGAGTATAACTAACTAAAACTACTCAATAAAAAATTATATGAGACAACCTGAGACGCCTATTCTATTTACAAAGTATAACTAACTAAAACTACCCAATAAAAAATTATATGAGACAACTTGAGACGCCTATTCTATTTACAGAGTATAACTAACTAAAACTACCCAATAAAAAATTATATGAGACAACCTGAGACGCCTATTCTATTTACAGAGTATAACTAACTAAAACTACTCAATAAAAATTATATGAGACAACCTGACACGCCTATTCTATTTACAGAGTATAACTAACTAAAACTACCCAATAAAAAATTATGTGAGACAACCTGAAACGCCTATTCTATTTACAGAGTATAACTAACTAAAACTACCCAATAAAAAATTATATGAGACAAAATGACGTTTTAAGAATCCTGTTTGAATTATCTGATATTAGTATCGAGAAATTCGGTTATATGCGTTTGAACATAAACTTGCGTAACCGGACGGATATTATTATTTTTCTTATGGTAATTTTACATAAATTTTCAGCTGAGTATTGTGGGAGTATTTCCTTTTGATTAATCAATATAATTAAAATAATGAAATTATTATTAAGCTGAGACTTGTAGTATTGTTCTAACAGTTGCCAATGTGTTCACCAAAAGGGACACAATTTATGTCAGATAACGTCACGACATGATTCTAATGAGATTTTTTTCCTTTTAAGAATTCGAACTCCCAGAGGGTGGACTGGAGATATTAACGTACGTAATGTATTTCTCTATAATTGGTGTTATCTTTGGTCTAATTAATTCTGGATGCTTCATTGTTCTTTGTTGCAAAAGGTATTATCATTTTCATCTAAATTTATGTATCTGTAGTTCTGGTCAATAAATATAATTAAGAAACTTTTAAGTAAAATATTAAACTTTTTCAAATTATAGTTTTCCTAACTTTATTGATTTAGAAACAAAATTGTTGAAAATTTTTTTTTTTAACTATTTAGACATTATGATAAAAAACACAAAAAAGCCAGTTACTCAGTACAGATGACGTCATTGACTGATCAGAACGTTTGATGCTTTGATAAAGTTTCAAAAGGTAATATAACTTACTTTTTCATTTTAAAAATAATAAATGTTTATTATTTTTAATATTTTAAACAACTATATTTTGTAAATAGCTTCGTGTTTTTGTAAGTGAAATCGTCCGATCGAAATTTCGCCCAAAGTTCGACTTTCTAGAGCACTTAAACCTTTACTGGATTCCCATAACTAAAAACAATACAAATATTTTTTTAACCACAACAAGCATTATTTAGTGATGCAAAAAAATAAAATAAATTAATGAGTAAACAACCCACGTTTTACATTGTAGAAAATAAGCAATTTCCCCAAGAAACAGTGCTATAAAAAGAGCAAGAAAAGTTACTACCAAAACTGCAGTTTTGAAGAACATTTAAGTATGAGTTTTATATAGTTTTTTTTCTCACATCACAGAACAGCACTGTTTTTAACAAACCTGTTAAAGCGCATTATGAGCAAAACAATTCTAAATTGAAGAGAGTACATCTGTTGTTGTTATTTCTAATGCAAAGGGCCAATACCAGAAAGTCTTCTTGGTGAAACCAAGGGAATTTAAAGCAGTGGGTGCAGTTCTTGAATATCTGACTCTATCGGTAGCCAAGAATACGTCTTCAGCCACGCACACGTCATAGCCCGTTTTACAGGGTGGGCTCATTCATACGTGCATTTATTCATCCACAGATCGTAATTTCGACCTGAACCAGAAAACGATCAACACACAATTCAGTACCTCCAAAGAGATTCATTTGTTATTTGAACTTGGAAGACTTTGTGACCCGGCAGATTTAAAGTGCACAAGTAACCATTTACTACACCTGGAGAGTCTTCGGCCGGTGAACATCGAACTGACGGCCTCTTGGACATGGACTCAACGGCCTAATGAACAGGCTGATCCAGTTGAGAGAGAGAGAGTGTATCTAGATGGATCTGGCATCATGGTTTTTAGTATCAATGTTGAAAAATTCTAAGCTTCCTTTTTCAATCGAATTAAACAATGATTAAATTAAAAGTTAATAAATCAGCAAATCAATGAATCATATAAGTAAGATATTCAACAATTTAAATAATATAGTGATTGGGGAATGCTTTTAATTCTTTATACAAACAAATGACTAGTTTAAAACAAATGATTCAAATGCTCATACTTCATTCCTGATTCTAAACTCACCATTTTAATATGTCAAGAAAAGTTTAACTTTTTCAAATCAATTATCGATACTCAACTAAAAATAGCTTTTCACGTCGATCTATGGATAAATATTATTTTGAAATATTAAAAACTTATATACAGATAAAATCATTTTTGGAATTCGTAAAAAGAATTAGGCATCAATTTAAAAAACAAAAAGGATTCAGCTAGAAAGAGAAACATGAATTTTCTTTATCCTTTTATTTTTTAATTATTTATTTGCGTTTATCTTTTTTACTTTTTTAATTATTTATTTGAAAAAAATTATACAAGGGACCAAAATGAAGTAAAATCATTCCTCTAATTTTCAAATCAATAATAATCGTCTTCAATTCACATGAGAAAATAATCTAATGGCAAAACATGAGCTCCGTGGGTTAAAATCTTAAGTGCCTATCTCATAAACATACGCGTTGAGCCGTGTTCTTTAAAGAGTTTTTAAGCTAGTGCTACATTTATTGAAAAAATATATTTACCAGTTTTTGACAAAAATGTTAAGAAACTGTATTTTGAAAAGAAGATTGACAGCTGGATGTTTTTTTTTCTCGTGATTTTTATAAATGAAAACGAGAAATAATTTATTTGTACCGAAAATTAGAAAAAAATATGTTCATTTGCTAATTATATTCATTCAAAATATTATGAAGTGTGAAAAAAATTTTCATGCAAGGTTCAATGCTAATCAAGGTAAAATCTTAATCCGTCACAAAAATTAATGCTCTTAGCTACCGAAACAAATTATTTTAAATTAAGTAAATATATGGGGGGTACATATACACAAGTTAATACAGGGTGTTCCGTAAAGAACGCCCCTAATATGTATATTTAGAATTTTTATCAAATATGAAAGCTAAAAAATACACACAAGGGGGTCGCAAATTCATATTTTGGCGAGGAAAATACAAAAACGCTATCGAAATTAGACACAGAAAGGGTGATCATAATAAACATAAAAACATGCTTAATTTTAAGTTGAAACTTGAAAATATGTCTAATAATCGTCTTTCAACTCTTTTTCGTCCTGTTTATTCTCATAGTCATATCTGTCTTGTTGTTTAGTAAGTAGGACTTCTTCAACTATGATTGGTCAGATTTGGAATTTAGTTTTTTCCTTGGTTAAATGTTAATTGTTTTTATTTCTAACATAGGTTCTAGAAATACATATTAAAGGAGGTCTTTACGAGACACCCTCAACACGTTGAAAATCTGTAGATCTGAACTCAGAAGAATATATGTTTTACAAAGAACTTTGAGTTTATTTTTTTATAAACTGTAGAACTTATGAATATTATGAATAGAATAAATGAAATATAAAATATATTTTTTCCCTTTAAGTGTCCCTATTAGATACAGGTTCGTAATTTTATCTACTTCGAAATACAGCTCAAAGGAGAGAAAAAAGTTTACAAGAAGTTTTTGAACTATATGAAATGCATTGGATTTATAAATTGTAGGAAAAGAGTTTGTTGTAGGAAAGGAAGATTATGTTCTAGAATATTTTTTTTAAAATTATGAAACATATTGAATGCAAAATTTGTTTAAAAATAGTTTGAAAATGAATAATACTTTCAAGAAATTTGTGAACATTAATTTCCAAAAATCGTTAACATGAAACACTCGCCAACTCCATACAATTACTACGCTATTATTTATTGTTTGAGACAACTTGTATATAACTTGTATGTATCTTAAATACATCTTAAATACATCTTATCTTTTACCTTACTTTGTATATATCTTGTATATTGTTTGCTTCATTAACAAATTTGTATTGCTGTAAGATATGAAAACCTCTCTGTTTTGAAATCATATTTAGTTACTTCTGAATAAAATCCTAGTGACTCAAAAAAATAAATTCTGTTAATTATATTTTAGTATCTCACAGAATGAATTTCAATTACATTTACATAATCTGAAAACAAATTTAGTGGACTGCTATCACACAAATAAACACTTGGACAAAAGGAATTTATTGCAGGATGTTTTTATCTAAATATATAACTATTATAAATCGAGTTGCATTTTGCATTCTCCGTTGGCAATAACTAGTTACTTGTAAAAAAATTTGAATTGTAAGGTATGCAAATTTTGATTTCATTCATTTTATAGGATGTCATTTTAACACTAACAAAATGCAAAATTTTAACGAAATCGGAAGAAAAGCTTCAAATAAAGTTTCACGCAACTCGTATACTAAAATTCAGGTATTCGCATGAACAAAATTCGAGCAAAAGTTTCGTCTATCATTTAATAAAATAATAGAAAAATAATGATCAATAATTTGTTCGTATATAATTGTAATTGAACAAACTAATTTTATGATGGTGTCCGAAAAATTTTCGATTCGTTTAAAATGCTCGGCTGGTATGGCAAAATACGCAAACAGCAAAATTCGCAAACAGTAACATTAATGGGTCTAAACTTTTGACAGCTCTTCTGGCCAAACGATGGGAACCATATTTTCCAGATTGCGGTTATCTCTCCCATAATTTGAGTCTCAAAAATCCGAATCTGTCGATAAAAATACATGTTACTTCAGAGAGAGTATGTTTTGGTGACGATTTTCCAACTTAAAATATCGTTTGCACAAATCAATTTGCATATTTAAGGTTAGCTAATTGAGATTGAGTCTTAGTACGTGAAAATCTGATCATTAGAAGCCAAGTTATTCAGTATGTATATTTTTTATTTTGCGCAGTTACATTTGGCGCTAAAAAACGGTATTGCAGTTAAAATTAGCATTTTGGTTTAAAGACATTCTACGTGTTTAAAATGAGGTTTAAAATGATAATGAATAGTTAAAACCTTCTGAAATCTAAAATTAAAAGCGATTAAGATTTTCGTAGTCGACAGTTATAGCAGCTACTAGAGGGCTCCGCTCCCTGCTCGCTATCGCTCTACTTCCCAAATGACAATAAAAAATTATTTTATCTACAATTTTTTACAGTGTTGGCAAAAAACAAATTATTCTACGAATGTTATAGCGATTCATTTATATCTGTAGTAAAAAAAACTGTGTCTGCGCTCAAATATTTGCCTCATGATTCTATTAAGATCTATTAATGATCATAAATACATTTACTCAGTAATAATCATCTAAAATTACATTTAAAATTTCAACAAATTTGCTGAGTTCACAATCGTCATTTAATATTTTATACACCAAACAGATATATTAAATACAATTTGTGTATGCTTTCATCGAATGTTGAGTATGCGTTCATGAATAACTTTTGATCTAATGATCATAATGGTTCGAAGGGGTGACTTCGAACATGCTAATTAATTAGGGCAGACGATATTTTAAGTTACGAAATCAGATACAAAAAACGCACTTTCTATGAATAAACATAAATAAAACCTTGAATAAAATTTGAGTATGGGCAAAAAAAAAAACTTTCAATGGATTAAGATTTCTGACTTTCAAAATATAGGGGTAGATGCAATACGGGAAATATGGTTACCATAGTTTATTAAAGAGAGTGATCCAAAGTTTGGATCCCTTATTGTTAATTTCACTTTTTGTTAATGTTAATTTGCTGATGTTAATTTATCTATTGCTAATTTTACTTTTTTACCCATATCTCGAGAACTTTATAAGTGAATTGAAAAATATTTCACTCAAACAGGAGAAAAATTTAGGAATTATAAGGTAAAAAAATTTTTTAACATCATATTAAAGTTTGTAATTTTAAATGAAAACATGAGAAAAATCAGTTAAAGAATACCTGAGAAATTGAATTTTAAAAAAGTCAAATATTTAAGATGCGATTTCTCAGGAACTATTCAGCCGATTTCTTCCTAATTTAGTACTTTGCGATAAAGAAAATTACATAATATAAAATGAAGTAAAAAATTGTATACCTTACAATTAAAAATTTTTTTGACTATTATTAAGTAAAATAATAAAAATAATAAATAATTACTAAAATTAATTTTTTACTTCATTTATTATTATTATTATCTTAAAAGAAAGAATTTTATAATATGGTGTACAAAAATTTCTTAATTCGCTAAAAAAAAATATCTCATGACATGGCAAAATGAAGTAAAGTTTACATTAAGGGGTCCAAACTCTGGATTGCTCTTCTGACTATATTTCCCAAATTGCGGTTACCTCATATATTTTGGGAGTCAAAAATCCAAATTCATTGAAAAAAAGTTATGTTGTTTCAGAGTTCTTCATATTTGATAAGTTTTGCCTGCAAGTCTCAGATTGGAAATGGCTCAAAACGTCAGAGTAAACAAAAGCCACGATTTTGTTTATAGAAAAAACCTTTTTTAATTATTTTTTCAATATTTCAAAAGTTATAAGTTCATAAGATTTGAAATAATTGAATTATAAGTTTATGTCAATGATTTTCATCAATATGGAAAAACCTCTTAATTAAATAGTCCATTTTTTTCTAATTTTAGACAAGATGATTGATGTTGTAAAAAATTATACCTTTGGACTTAGTTTTAAAGCACTTTCTCTGTGGCTTTTTATTTCTTTGACGAAAGAGTATTTAAAAACAATGTTAAACATAATTACATTTTCAAAGTAGAATAAAAAGCTATATGAGAACAACTAATATTGTCGATAAAGAAAGCTATCATAAATAAGTTTTAAAAGGTACAAAAATGAAAGGGTAAAAACTAAAATCACATGAAAGGGTTTTTTTAAAACATTTTGAACTTTATAAATATACCTGCCTAATCCAAGATTAATTCAAAGATGAATACAAAATACTTTTTTAGCCAAGTATGCAATGAGCTTTTAAAGAAAAAAATTATACCCATACTTGTATTCGATACGATAATAGTTTATAAGTTCTAATAGTTATACAGATAGTTATATATAATATATACTAATAGTTATACTCTTTTAGAATGGAATAAGCGTCTCAAGGTTACACGATTTTCCCTCTCTACACATATCTCCCCTCTCCGTTACCATGGTATCCGCAAATCTTGCTTCCCCTATTTCTCACTTCTCTTAGCTAACCCGGATTTATATCTAATTTAACACTGAAGATCCACTTAACTATTCGTGAGTGTATATCTTTTTCTGAAAAAGAAAACTACTCAAATACGAGATAATCAGCTGAAGAGGTAATTTTTTTATTTAATTTTTTATTTTTAGCAGCAATATTTTTGCATATATCACTCACTGGAGCTGGAAACACTCCACTCAAACATATTAGGAGAAGAAACATTGAACATAAAACAACATCTAATTGAACATATGAAATGAAAACATTAAAAGATATAAACATTTAAAACATTAAAGCATTGAAAATATTGAAATGAGAAATGAAATATTGAATGAACTATGAAAGTATAAAAAATACCAAAAACATACATTTAAACATGAAGAGGTAAGTAATAAAAAATATGTTTTAAAACATATTGTATACAAGACTAAAGCAGATGGTGACACTACACTGCATAAAAAGCTTGCTTTTTCGATGGCGGTTACAATTACAATGAATATTAATGAGTTCGAAATTTTGGTTCAGTTGACATAGCTCAACGATGCCCTTTAGTGTGACTCCTGGTAATCTTTTCCCACACCCACAAGTGTATGCCTACTTTTTACTGAAATCGGCTGCCTTGGGGGAAAAAGCTTAACCATGGTTTTTGTTAACCATGGTTACGTAAAGGGGAAAAGTGTGAGCAGTAGGAAAATCGTGTACCATGATATGCCAATAAGAATATGAAAGTTATTAGAATTTTGAGTGCTTCTTCATATTTTATTTTTTATTTTTTTAATAATGATTATTGATCCCTTGTTGTTAAACATTTATCTTATTATTAGAAGCAAAGACAACTTTTAAATGCTTTTTTTTACAGTCGTAAAACTAAGTATTTAGAAGTTTAAATGTCATTTAATATTTTGGAATTAATACGCATATACCTAAATTTTATCTAAAACTTACGCGTAGGGATCTAAATACAATTTGAAATGAAGGAAGAGTTGAGCAAATTTATGTATGAAATTCCAAAGTTTCTTTCTTTCTTTCAAAATATGCAATCATGCTGTTGATAAATGTCACATGGAACAATGAAAAGAATTGAACACTTAAATTACTCATCACAAATAAAGTAATGTTTTTTAATATGTATTTTCGCTTTCTTGAATAACTATAATACTTGTTTGTAATCTGCGAAATGATAACTTGATAACGCCGATAAGAAAATTTATTATCAGTTTTTACTTCATTTCAAAAATTAGGTTCTGTTTTCCACTAATAAAAGTAGGTTAATATTAGTTTTTAATTAAAAAAAAGATTAATAATCAGTTGTGGGATAGCTCTATGATCTAACGCATTTAAATTCCAATATGGGAGACTTATGTCGATTTCTTGCTGTCTTTATTTTGCGCTTAAGTCTGCGTTGTACTCCAGTAGTTAGGGAAAAAAACAGGCTTAAATTTATCTTTTTTTGTAGTAAAACAAGCATAAGTTGACTACTATTGTTTTAGTGGTCAACTTAGACAAGTGGGAAACTTATAGAGGGGGTGGGTCATTGTNGTGTTTGTTAATAAAAGTTTTTATTTAAAAGAAAAACTGAATAGTTCTTGATATAGCTTATGATACGTTACAAGGGGGTGGGTCATTGTTTACTTTTTCGTTTCCAATATCATGTTGCTATACATTAAAAAAAAATTTTTACTTTACTTAAAAATTTTATTTAGCAAATAGCCAAATGAATATGGTAAGATAAATGTTTAAACCTGAATGAACTTCAATTTGTTACATATACATAATTCTAATATTTAATTAACTTTTTTAAAAAAATTATTTCGTTAGTTATGCATGTGAAGTGTTTAATAAAAATAATTTCTTAAAATATCAGAACACGAAAACATGTAATTTGAAAACTTTAACAAACAAAATTATTTGAACACTTTGAAATTTATTCTGTTATTACTACACTTACAAACTTATTTGCTCACGATTGCAACTGGAAGAACAACTTTTCAACTAACACTACTGTTTTCAAAGAATGAATGAAAGAAATGGTCAAAAGCTGACCCCTTACAGTTTCCCCTGATGGTTAACTCACAAAAGGGTTTAGATTAGCTTTTTGCACTGTTTCACCAAACAAGTGAAATTTTAACATACATTGCAAAATGACAGAAAATCATGAACTTTTTTTTTCTGATCAACTTATAAGGGATTTAGAATAGAATTTCATAATACTCCTAGACAAAATTGACTTATTTCTGTGGTCAACATACAAGATAGACTGGTGGTCAAGTTACAAAGGTTTTACTTCTTTATAATTATATAGGAAAAATTCCTATATAATTATAAAGAAGTAAAACCTTCTTTATAATTATATAGGAATTCTTTATAATTATATAGGGAAATTTCATTATATAGGAAAAATTCCGTTCTTGATAATTGAGGTCAACTTATGCAGGTGTCCAACTTACAAGGGTGGTCAATTTGGCAGGTTTCACTGTATTAATCGATTCGGTGATGACGCAATATGAATTAACTAAATTTTTCACCTTCGAGGAGGTGAGCGTCCACTCCTAGGTCAAAATACGTGACCTGAAATTTCATGTTTTTGAGGGTTTTCTTCCTCCAAATATCTCACAAATAACTCTCCATATCGAAAAAATGTAAACACAAAAGTTAAGTCGGTAAAGTATGCATCAAATAAATACCAATAGGATATGTTTTGTCTCCAACGTACTTACTTGACCAAATGAGTTGACCTAAATAGTCAACTTTTTAAACAAATTTCCTTTTTTGATGAAATTAATGTTGGAAAGAAGTAAAAAACATTTTGGTACTACTATTGTATGAATAACGACTACTTCACTGATGTTTTGACAATCCTAAGTTGAAAACTTCCCGTTTTGACAGTCCAGAGTTAGGTTGAAAAATTCCTGAGAAATTGAATTTCAAAAAAGTCAGATAGTTAAATTTCGATTTCTCAGGAACTATTTCACCGATTATGCTCAGATTTTGAATTTTGTCATGCAAAAAATTCTCTTCCTTACAATTCAAAATCTCTTCGATCTTACTTAAGTAAGGTAATAAAAAATAGTAAATATTTGCTGAAAGTAATTTTTTACATAGAATTACCTTTGGATAAACCAATTTTCAAATTGAGTGCAAAAATTTTAAAAAATATTCATGGGACATAGGAAGATGGGCAAAAAGTAAAATTAACATTAGAAGGTCCAAGTTTTGGAGCGCACTTCTGACTAAACTATGGAACCATATTTCCCAGATTGCTGTTACCTCCTATATTTTTGGGGTCAATATTCCGAATCCGTGGAAAAAAGGCATGTTTATTCAGAGAAAGTGCGTTTTTGTGTCTGATTTCGTGATTTAAAATATTGCTTGCACTTATTAATTAGCATATTTGAAGTCACCCTACCGGGCCATTAAGACTGATTTCGAACGTGAGGATTCAACCATTGGATCAAAAGTTATTCAGGGTGGTTCGTTTTTTCTTTTTTTTTTCTCACTTTACTTTAATAGAATTGACAATTTCAATTTTAAATTATTATCGAATTTTCAATATCAAATTATTTTAATCGAAAAAGGAACATATTACAGTGTGAATTCAAATTTATATCTGATCATAACTGATTAAAATTAAGATAAATAAGGTGTGAAAGGTTCAATACCCTCTACTAGAGAAGAAGAATTATATGTTTATCGTAGGTCTACAGCATTAAGCAAAGTTATCGGTGGTCACTAACCATGAAAGACTAAATGAAACAATTGGCGATTAAAAAATTGTTTTCTTGGCATCACCAGAACACCACTTTTTATGCCAAGAATGCACCTGCTGTGCAATTTGCAAAATTTTTTTAAAAAAATTAAATATCGAATCAGTTTGAATATTTGATAAATTTATATAAATTACTTTATTTTACACTTTTTCTTAAAATTTTTCTTCATTTTAAACATGTAATGTTCACCATACTTTGAGAAATGTTTCAAATCTCAATATCAAGAGTATTCTTAGTTGTTTAAAATTTTCAATTTTTGTAAAAGTAGCTATGTTTAAAAATTATTGTCCACATGTAAGTAATAAGACTTCCTAATTTTTTCATACAGTTCATTGTAAATTAAAATTTTTAGGGTTTAAATTATGGGGATTTATTTGTTTAACGATTGCGCCTGGTACTAAAAATATAACTCACATCGGACGAAGAATTGATAAAATAATGTCCATGTAAGAAATTACTGTTTTATTGATTTATATATTTTTCTTTGAATACGCAATCCTTCTGTAGATAATAATAACATAAAACATCAAAATGATTTTAATAATACAAATGAAATAATGCTCTAAACATGCTCTACTATAATTTATTACGATAACTCAGATAAAAAAAAACACTCTTATCAAATGTCTAATGGATTGATTTTTCACACATATATATTGAGATGAAATTAATGTTTTTATAAAGATATCTTTTCGTTAATAAGTTATGAGATCAATAAGGGATAGCTCACCAAAATTCAAATATGACAGGACAGAGTTTATTTTTCCTATTATTTTTGTGTGTAAATCTGTTTTATGCAGTGTTTGGAAGTGATTGTGGTTGTGACAGCAGCGAAGAAATAGCAACTAAATGCTCTAACGATGTTGGTGAGTACATTCATGCAGATCGCATAAATTGAAATGAAGCAAAATTATAAGTTTTTGTTACTGACCAGTGGTCGATTGAAGTATTTTAAACTTTGGTTAGTTAATGGTTGAAAAGAATTTCGATATTTATAATATAAGTTATTTCTTTCGAAGCATTTTCAAAATGTTACAATATTTCTTTCTAACATAAAGAAACAATTAAGAAATAAGCATGCAGTCATTTTCAATATATTATAAAATATTCATAATAATTTTGAGTTCCATAACGATCTTATAAAATACTCATAAATATTACAAAAAAAACACTATAATAAAGTGCACACAAGATGCATTTTCGACGAAAAAAAGTGGAATCGGATGTAGACTAACAGGCAATTGTTTAATCGCCATTCAATATAATTAATTACCTAATTAATTCCTAGGGCAAAATTGGGAATTTCGGCAACTGGCCAACTTTTCGCAGGGGCAACATTTTAAAAAGAGTGGCCACTTTTTTTAAAAATGTAAAACTTTAAACGTTCGAAAAACTGTTGATATTTTTAAGAAACGAAATTTTAACGTTAAAAGATTCATTTCTAAAACGAAAGCGTGATATAAAGTAATTTTCTGAATACTATGAAATATTTATAATGACTCCCTTACTATTCTATTAAATTCTATTAAATATTGCAATAATTCCAGAAAGTCTATAGTTAAAAGTAGTCAAATTTTCGACAAAAAAGGTGACGTCTGGCAGACAATTGTTTAATCGCCATTTAAAATATTTAGTCGCCCTGTGGCTGGTAGGGATCAGTAATTTTGCTCTAAAAAGCAAAATATCCATAAAATTTAGCTAGTTAATTCATTAATTTTTTTATTCTTGAATTTGACAGATAATCTGTGCTACAAGTAAAATAGTTAACTAAGAAGAGATTTTTAGAGTACGCTTGTTGTAGTGTTTATAAAAAGTATATGCAAGGAATATACTCAAAGTGAAACTCGTCAATTAGGCTGGATTTCTATGTACAAAGACTTTTTTAGTTTGAGAAATAATATGTAAAATTTATTTACTACTTCGAAGTAACAATTAATTTAAGAATTATTTAAGATTACAATTTGTGCCTTGTTCTGTAAACTTTTGCTCGTTAAAGATTATAATTTTTGTCTTTTTGAACAATTCTGTTCGTACTGCAAAGCAAAAGCTTTGCTGGCTGCAAAATGTTAATAGTTTATTCATTTTATGTTAATAGTTTATTATAGTAAATGTTAATAGTTTGATCATTTAATAGTTTATTCATATTTCATGTGCGGTGGTCTTGAATTAACAGAATAAATTAAAAGTTAAAATAAATTATATTGTTTTGAACAATAAATTCCAAAATTTCATCATAAGTCAGTATTTTGAAAAAAAAATTCAATAACATTTTATTTCCTCATTTTAAATTTCTAACGAGAAATTGCTTGAAATTTATAATCATAAAGTACCTTAAAAGTGTTTATCCTATCTGTAGTCAATATTGCTTGATTGATGAATTTTTGAGATTTTGCAATTTTTTGCTTAACTTTATAATTTTAATACCTGTAAGTATAATTTAATACTCTTCTGTAATGTTAATGCTTTAACTTTATCACTTTTCCCAACTAAACTCAAGTCAAACTTTTTGATGGTTATCCTTTGTTGGATCAACAAAATCTTGACGGAAACCATTAATAATTCCATCATGAATCATTATATATTTGATGGTAACCATCATCAGTAATGTTGGTTACCATCATGTTGAACCATCTGAAATATTCATCACTGTTTCTTAAAATCAAATGTTGGAACGATCATGAATAACCATCATCCCAATGTAGGAATTTGAACTGATTTATGATAGACCAACAATAAAAAAATTACTTTGATGGTATATTCCATCAAAACAATTTGTTTTTTCCCATTAACCATCATGGAAATGTATAGTTGAAACCATCATTGATCATCTCACATCATCATGGATTGTTGGCCCATGATGAATCAAACTTCTTGTGATGGTTAACCATCATAGTATTAAAGTAGCATTTTTCATCATGAAGTGATGGAAGTTAGGCATATCAAAAACCATGAACGCATAAAGGAAAATGTTGGATGTTGGGGAGAATCAAATGATGTTGGACCATAGTTTATTGAAGATTTTAATCAAGAAATATCTTATTGCTTCAATTTCGTCTGATTATTTATTTAATTTAAGACTAAAATATGTTACCATTAAGTAAGCAAGCCAACTTGCGAAGCCATTCGAAAGGATGTACAAAAGCAATTCAGGCGATGGGTGAACACAGCAAGCAGGGTCTAATCTTAATTATTGTAACTTTTTTGAGTTTCATACATATCAAAATTAAAAAAATAAAAATAAAAATGGATGTATTAAATTCATTTTTATTATAGATAAATCATATTTATATGAAATGTGTCAATTTCATTATCAAAACATTCGCTGATTCGAATCAGTAAGTGATTCAAATTAGCAGTGATTTGAATCAACAAGTGATTCGAATCAGTGATTTAAATCACTAAAGTGAAGAGATTCTATTGATTCAAATCACTTGAGTGATTCGTTTTGCTCAACTTTAATCATAACTTCCACTCTGGGATGGTCTTGTCGAACAGTAAATTAAAAGTATTTTTAAATTAAAAGCTTAACTTTCTAAATATTTATTAGAAAAAATCCTTTTGACCAAAAAATAAAATGATGTTTACCAAGATTTAAGTGCCAATATGAATCTTGGAACTTAAAGAAGGTGTACTTAATCCAATTACTAAGTTTTAATTTAATAGGTTAATTTGAAGTCAAAAATTCTTGATCGCAAGATTAAAAAAATTGGACAGAGAAAAACAGATTTAAAAGCTTAGATTAACACGTTGACTCCGGGGTGAAACAACGGTGGGTCACGCTAGAGTTTCTCATCTTGGCAGCGCACCGGAGTAAAAACTGGTAACAATAAGTTTCATTTTTTAGTTTTTTTTCCGGGAATAATAAAAATCCATAACTACCAATTTTTTTAACGGATGCAATTTTTATATTAAATTGCTTCTTCGCCGTGATAAGTTTTCTTATAGTGAATTGTTATTGTTGAGAATAGATTAACTCCTCCCGAATATTATCTAACATTGAAATAGTTCTTCTACCAGTATTTTCACTTTTCCCGGCGTGAACGTGTTAATATTACTTTTACTGATAAGATATAATATTTGTTGGTGAATCCTGTTAAGGTGTAATAATTTTGGTGTTCAGTGAGTGAGTTTCAGTATTGTTGCTATAACTTTGAAACTTTTTTGGCGCATTATCTTATGGTTTGGTGTCAAATTGCTCGCACTGAAACAGGTTAAAATATAATTTCTTTTTTCAAAAAGACTAAAAGCTTTGTTACAACAAACCCCTTGCCCCTCTGTGCACAAAAAACGGAAATATGACTTTTCTTTTATAACAGAGACACTTATAAATAAAACATGTCACGTATTCTTGTCGTCTTTCCAAAAAAAAAAAATTAAAAAAATAATAAAAACATGTTTTTTTTATCTGAAAAATTTCCTAAATAATAAAATATTATTTTATAATTAATTTAATAATTGAATTTTATAAATTATAAGCAAAACATACTGCTAATACTTATAATGCTATATATCAGCTCTATTATAAAACTCCAGACTTAAAAGCTTTTTTTTTTAAATTGTTTTTTTTAAGTGTGAGAAATATTTGACTAAATATGACGATTATCTCTTTCAACTAAGGAGGCATTTGTCTCTTTTATTATTTAATTCACAACTTTATTGCGAATGTTCTTAATTTGATTTATTTTATATTTAACTAATAATCATTTATGTAAAGAAATTTTTTTTACCATTCATGTACTTATATTCTAGAATGTGACTGTGGATATGGAACTTTAGAATGCTGTTATATGCATGGTGAGAAGCGCTGTGTGTGCATGGAAGGGTACGCTCTAAACAAAGACATTTGTGAAGGTGAAAAGCTTTTTAATTCTCAGGTTTAATCCAAGCTTTATGTGTGGCTAGCGAGTATTGTCAACTCTAGTTTTAAATTGTTCCTTACTCTGTGAAAAGAACATTTCACTATTTTTACATAAAAGCTCTTTTTAAAAACTACCGAATAAGCTAAAATTTTGCAGGCAATCGCCAGTGCTGATAAAAATTTGATAAGCCTAACTAATCTACGATCAAAACGAAAATCCAAACATTACTGAACTAAACTTTGGAAGGATCCTAGATTAGAAAAGAAATATCCAAGGTTTCTTTCTTAAAAACTTCGCAAGTTCAGCAACCCAAATTCGTTCGAACCCATCCTTAAAAAATTTTATTCTGCTTTTGTAACTTTATTTCATTTGAATCATTTTAGAAATTAATTAGTTACATAGAAAGTTTTAAGTAGCTTATTAATTCTGCAACTGCGGGTATGCTCTTGAAGCTCTCATGTGAACGGCAAAAATCTCTGTAACTACAAATCAGATTATGCTCTAAAACAGGGGTTTCCAACTTACATGAGGACGGGGGCCACAATTTAAAACATAAATCAAATGGTGGGCCGCAACTTGATCAAAATTTTATGTAGGACTCTTTTATGTTTGAAGTAACATTAAATATTACTGTCAGAATTTTACCAAGTTGTACAAAACAAAAATATTGAATTACAAATTAAAATAAGTAGATTTTTCAAACTATTTGTTTGCACATTAAAAAATTCTGGCTACAATAACTTTAATGTGCACCCATGTATTAAACAATTAATGTGCAACAGATATCTAATTGTTAAGATATAAAACTTTAAAAAAGTTGGTATTAAAACTTACATAGTAGCACACAAAATGTTCATTGACAAAATTGAGGTTCGTCTGCTGCAACCACCAGAGAATAGATATTTACATTTTAAATTTTACAAATGCGTCTGTAAATATTTTCGTCCAAAAGGAGTGGTTTCAAAAAGTTAAATCGGAGAATTTCTTCGAGAAAATTTCTGATACCCACGTTTTAAATTATATTCACAAAATGCAAAAAAAAAAAATGAAATGAAAGAGAGCAACATACACGATTATTTTTGTATTTGAATAAATATTTTCTTGGATGCAAAACCTGAGAAATACTTTTTTTGCACCGTTGGTATGATAAATTTCGCAGCAATGAAGAAATTAGGTTTTTATTAACGAGAAAAGTATTTTAAACCCATAAAGAATTTTTACAAAAATTATCCGCAAAAAAATGACAACTAATATATTTTAGTTCGCGGGCCACAAAAAAAAAGGCTTCGCTGGCCGGATGCGGCCCCCGGGCCGCCAGTTGGAAACCACTGCTCTAAAACAAGGACATTTGTGAAGGTAAGGGCAAGACTCGAGAAATACGGTCTACCGGTTGCCATTAACGAACAATACATTTTGACTGGGGACTATATTTTTAGCCTTTAATTATGAATTGATATTTTTTGTTGCTCATTATTTAACTAAAAAAGTCGGTTTGCGAATTTAAAACTCGAGCGAAACTTTTTTCTCCTTTCTCGTCTGTTTTTTCAACAATTATGGAAGAAAAATTCTATGTTTTCTTTATCTTTGCACTGTCGTACATTCTTGAAATTTCTGATTCCTAGTTTAGTAATAGTATCTTGCTAAAAAATAGGATTTTAAAAATCATGTAAAAATACAAAGGAAAAACTGCGTGATTGTGATCGGAAACCATATAAATTTGCTATAAGGTGATCGAAATATTGGAAATTATAATCCATGGGCTTAACTGTCGAAAAAGTTAGTAAAAAAATGAATATACACATGAATTCTCGATGAAATTGATGCAAACAAACTCATGCGCCAAAAAGTTATTAATCAAATGCGTGATTAAAAGTTCACCTGCTTAATAATGCCTCGCTAAATGTATTAGGGTTTCGAAAAATCTATGCTGAATTCTGTTAAAGTAATTGATGAAAAAACAAAGAAATTTACAATGAAATAAATGCGAACTCGAACTTACGCGATTGAAAATCGATTGCTTATATGTGCAGATCGAAATTCATGAGTCGTAATAGTTTCGAGTGTAGTTGCGATTTCAAAATATCTGGATTTTGAAATTACCTAGAAATTCATAAATATCACGGATGAAAAGGTCTTTTAAATAAAAATATGAATTCTCGACGAAATCGGTGGAAATGTATCAAAAAAATTATTATGATAATGTTAATTATCACAGGTACAAAATTCTCATGGGATAATATCCTATTTAAAACATAGGGATTTAAGAAAACCGTGTAAAAATCTTTGACAATAATTGCTGAAATGCCACAAGAGTGCGCAATGAAATCGGCGTCGAATTCAAGCTCGTCAAACGATAATCACTTAATTGTGAGATTCGAAATTTCCAGGACGTGTTAAAATCATGCTAAAAAATGGATAAACGAGAACGATTATAATTTTAGAATAATAATATGAAACAAATGTTTTTATACATAACAGGTTTTCTGCGACGTTCTTGTTTTTGAAATTTTTCCTTTAAATTCTTCTGGATCCGTGCACTTGGAAGTTCTGAAAAAGTTGAGACCCAATTTATAAATTTGCATAAAAACCCGCTGTAATAGAACTTTTTACGCGTAATCGTAAATTCTCAGATAATGCACATACTATTTAATAGTAAAATCATAATATTTTGCGATAACACACTAATTTTTATCAATTTCAAAGTAATCTTTGAAATTTCTTTCAAAAATTTATTATATTTTATTATGTTGTAATAAATATTTTATTCACTTTTACTAAGCATTCCAAATGTGAACAATTGGTTTTTTGCATGAATGTGTTGAACAAAATTTCAAATTTGGAAGAAAAAGAATGTAGAAATGGGAAAGGTACTAAAATTTTTACTGGCCACCAACTTTTTTCCAAATATTCGTGCTCTGCGTAAAGGTATTGTTTTATTTCCTGGGAGCAGCTTCTTAAACTCTTCATGTTGGGGCGATTTGAGGGTTTTCCTTAAATGCTTATAGAAAATTACCGAAAAGCAATAATTTCAGCTTATAGTTGAAAAATTATAGCTTATGACTAATCTTATAATACGCAACTTATTACCATGCTGCGAGAAATAAGGAGCATAGACCTGCAAGTAAATAATAATAGCTTAAGTAAAACTTCCAGTCAAGAATTATAACTGAGACTCCTATAGCTGTAAATGTGAACGAATAGAAGTTTCGAAAGCCTAACTCTATTGAAGTCAAAAGGAAAATCCAAAGACTCAGCACAAGAGAGGTTCGACTTACAGCAACCTAGGATTGCAAATACCCCCCTAAAAGACCGAAAAATAATATACATATATTATAGTTTTTTTTCCTTTACTGAATCTATCAATGCATAATTTATAAAATAAATTTAAGAGATTTATTAAATATTCATTTGTATTCCAGAGTGTGATTGTGGACATGGAGCTTCAGAATGTTCTTTTGTAAATGGCACGAAATTCTGTACTTGCAGATCAGGTTACACTCTTGATGATGGAGTTTGTAAAGGTATATAGGTTCATAAACTTGTAATAAGGTTCATAGATAGGTTCATAAATTAATAAGATTCATAAATAGGTTCATAAATTTGTATAAATGTTCATAAATTTGTTTCGAAAATAGCTCCACTTGCAGCAACCTAGGATTGCAAATACCTCCCTAAAAGTCCGAAAAATAAAATACATTTATTATAGTTTTTTTCTTCCTTTATTGAATCTATAAATGCATAATTTATAAAATAAATTTAAGAGAATTAATAAATATTCATTTATATTCCAGAGTGTGATTGTGGATATGGAGCTTCAGAATGTTCTTTTGCAAATGGCACAAAATTCTGTATCTGCAGATCAGGTTACACTCTTGACGATGGCGTTTGTAAAGGTAAAAGCAGCATTTAATTATTTAGGTGAAACCAGTCTTTGCGAAGTCTAATACTCTATGGAGGGAACAATTTATAATTTTTATTATAATGCTTTTGGAAAAAGTACAATCATTTTCGTCAAAAAGTTTTTTTTAAATAACCATGGTCAAAGATTATTTTGATCTAGTTTTGGTACTATCTTGACTATCCTATATTAGCTCACCACTCGTAGAATCGGTAGATTTTTTAATTTTTTTATTTTTTAATTTTGAATAGCACTGCAGGTAAATTCCTGATGTGAACACCAAAACTTCTGTCTACAGAGAAAGTAGATAATTACATCCATGGCTGAACAAAGATGTTTCTGTTCCCAAGAAAAATTTTATTACGAGTCTCTTATTCAAACCGCAAAAAAACATTGTTTTATATCTTGGAAGTATGCAAAGTTGTATTTTTCGTATGGAAACAAAGAAATTCCTTGTAATTTTCTTTTGAAAAACTAATTAATAAAAACGATATTTTTTTTTAAAATTTTGTTTGTCCCGTTGGCAATCCAAAATTTCGGAACAGCTGTCCGTCTCCCTCCCCTCCCGTTAACCCTGCCACAACTACATCACAAGTAAATTCCATGCATATTTTTTTAAATTGTTGTATAGAATAGAAATACCAGCTACCTTTTCACTGAAATTGTAGTATTTTTCAAATTTTCTATAGAGTTAACATGTTTACCTAATCTTACCCTATTGGTTGGGTTAGATCGTGTGATGTTACATTCTTCTAGAAAATAATCCTTCATTAAAAAAAGTAATGAAAATGTGAATTTTCAGGAATGATATATTCTACATAATGAATGAACATTTTGATTAAATTTTTGAAGGATTCGTATTTCTAACATCCAAACTGTAGAAGGTTGCCGCAATCTGGAAAATACGAAACCAATAGAATGGTCAGGAGAGTAGTTTGGACCCCTTAGTGCTAATTTTACAGTTTGCATATTTTAATATAACTCGAAAAACTTTTTAGTTAATTAAAAAAAAAATTCGCACAATTATAAAATTCGTTTGTCGAAGGTGATTCCCTGAAAAAAATATTCTTTTTGTAAATATTTTTTATTTATTATCATTTTATTTAATAATGATCGAAGAAATTTCGGATTGTAAGTCACATATTTTTTTTGCATAATTTTAAACAAAATAATTTCACAACGACAAATTTAATATTTGAGCCAAATCGGTCGAATAGTTCCTGAGAAATCAAATTTTAAATAAATTTTTTTTTAAATTTAATTTCTCAGGAAACAAATGAACCGATTTTGCTCAAATTTTGCATTTTTCCTGGTATAATTATATTCTTTAAAATGATTCAAAAAATTATGTACCTTAAAGTTCAAAATTTTTATGACCATTATTAAATGAAATCATAAAAAGTAATAAATATTCATAATAAATAACTATTTTACGTAATATTTTATAATAAATATTTTATGTGTACTTTAGGCTGTAATAAATACTTTTTTCATTTTTACTAAGCATTCCAAATGTATATTGATTATTTAACATGGATGTATTGAACAAAATTTCTAATTTGGAAGAAAAAAAATAGAAATGAGAAAGGTACTAATATTTTTAGTGGCTACCAACATTTTATAAATAATTGGTGCCCTGCGTCAGGTTATTATTATATTTCCTGGGAGTAGCTTCTTAAAAATTTCATGTTTTGACGATTTGTGGATTTTCTGTAACTACTTATAGAAAAACTACAGAAAAAGCAATAATTTCAGATCATAACTGAAAAATTTTAGCTTATAACTAATCTTATAACACGCAACTTATTACCATGTTGCGAGGAATAAGGAGTAAGTAAATAATAATAGCTTACTTATAACTTCCAGCCATGAATAATAATTTTGACGGCTACAGCTGTAAATGTGAACGAATCAATGTTTGAAAGGCCTAACTCTATTGAAGTCAGAAGGAAAATAAAAAGACTGACGAATTTTATACCAAAGGGGTCCTTAATTAGAGAGTTCCTAATTATGTCTTGTATAGCTTCGTTCATAAATTTGTTTCGAAAACAGCTCCACTTGCAGCAACCTAGGATTGCAAATACCTCCCTAAAAAACCGACAAATAATATGCATTTATTGTAGTTTTTTCTTCTTCCTTTATTGAATTTATCAATGCATAATTTATATGATAAATTTAAGAGATTTATTAAATAATCAATTATATTCCAGAGTGTGATTGTGGATATGGAGCTTCAGAATGTTCTTTTGTAAATGGCACAAAATTCTGTACTTGCAGATCAGGTTACACTCTTGACGATGGCGTTTGTAAAGGTAAAAGCAGCATTTAATTGTTTTGGTGAAACCAGTCTTTGCGAAGTCTGATACTCTATGGAGAGAACAATTTATAATTTTTATTATAATGCTTTTGGAAAAAATACAGTCATTTTTGTGTACGGCTCTAGAGGACAATAACTCATATATAACAGTTCGAGTCGAAAATTTACACTTCACTGCAGAGAAATAATATACGAATTAACGGGAATTTCATGATATTTTTCACATCATGAAACTTTTTGAGTTTTGCGCAGGTTACATAAAATAATGATTTATTTAACACCTTTGATAACATTGGCGTAGTAGCCTAATTATTTTTTAATTTAATTTCGAAAACATTTGTGAAGTGATGGGAAATATTCAATTCATAAACGAAAAATAAAAACTGAACTGCAGAGAAATAATGGGATGCAAAATTTTTATTTTTGCACTAAATATTACACATATGGTTAATTTACACTAATTTTCCTCCTCCCCCAGATAACAGCATGAGATAAAAAGTTTCTTCCACCATGCTCAAAAGATTTTTTTTTAATTAAAATGCAGTCAAACCACGGTGTAACAAAACCTCGATTTGGCGAGTTCCGCGATTTCACAAATTTCTATTTTTCTCTGATTAAATGATAATAAAATCCTCTATTGATCCAAATTGATGAACTATTTCACTAATTGAAAAAGATTTCTTTTTTAAACTGGAAGCAAACATTTTTTAGACACTTTAATGGTTTAAGATCATCTTAAAAGGTACACAACGAAATTCTTTTTTTTTATCCATGCTCCGCACATTTCCCTATTAGCAATTAAAAGAAAAAAGATTAAAACAGTAGTTTTTTCTGTAAACTATGCGCAAGTGCTTCGGTTAATAATATTTTTATTTCGTATAATTTTTCACATACAAAAACAATAAATAGGAAGTTCCTTATTACAATAATTAATACGTTATTGAAGATTAAAAATGCCTATTTTTTGGAGGTTAAAAGTTTATTGATATATTTGTTGCTGAGTAAAAAGAATACAATTTCTAGTTATTGGCAGTTTTGGGTAGTTGCATTTTTGGCTGTTTTATAAGAAAAATTCCAAAAACGACCCTTATATTTCGAATAAAACGTTCTGTCTCGATGAATTCGCCAAATCGGGGTCCAACTTAATCAACATTTCATTTGTTATTATATTCTATCGACTTCTTATTTTCTTTTTTAATAAATTGAATTTTCGACAGAATGTGATTGTGGAAATAATTCAAAAAGCTGCCAGCTGATAGCTTCTTTTAAATTATGCTTTTGTTATCCTGGATATATGTACAACGCTGACAGGAATGAATGCGTAAGCGAAAGTAAGTATGAACACAATGTTATGGAAAAAATTATTTTTTATTAGTTTTTACTTTTCACGAAATCATTTGTCTGAAATTCTGAAAATGTCGTGACTTTTAATATAGTGATCCTCTTAAGAAAGGTGAGGTTTTCTCGGAAAATTTCAGATTTACATAAAAATTTTAAGAAAAACGCGCATACAGGAGAGGAGGCTAATTAGAACATGAGGTTGCTAAAAACAAGGGAATTTTTTCGGTTTTTTTTTTCAGGCGTAAAATAACAGCTATAAAACTTACAAAATAACACTTCTAAAATAATCGGTGTTCTGCTATTTTAAAAATGCTTGTTTTTAAGTACCTCCGTAAATTTTGGTGCATCGGCAACACTTTACATGCACATCCCTGGCAACAATTTTACCTTGGCCCCGATTGGGCTCAAAATGGGCACATTATCGGTCCTATATGAACATGCACCAAGGAACCAATACTGAGATGTCTAGATTTTTTAATGCTGCTCCTATATAGGGCCAATATCGGCCTATATAAGGCTAATATATATAGTCTATAGTGACTGAATAACGAACATATTATAAAATATCGGGTAAATCTGACAATTTTAGGTAGGGCCAATACCGACAAATTACTGCCCTATGAACCCTTATAGAACCAAAATTAGTTAATATTGGTTCGATGAGGGCCTAAAGATGCGGCCTAAAGATATTTTGCGGCTAAAGATGTTATACTTTTATGATCATGAAAACACACTTAATTCCTAAACTGCAAATTAAAATTCAATGTTTATATGGTAGAAAAGTAAATCATTAATTGTTTTTTCAAGTATATAGATTGTGTGATTAAAATAGTTTTTAAAAATGGTTAATATGCTTATTTAATATTCATATAATAATTTTTGATTTGCCTTTTTCTAATGAACCAACAATGTCACATTGGAGACTATCCATCTGTTCAACAATGACACCAACTCCAACTATGTAACCCCATACCTGTGTGGCTAATTTGGGAATTCCAATTTTCAGCTTTCATTGATAATATTCTCATTTATTTACTAACACATAGGTTATCAAAGTAAGCAAGATGCAAGAAATAGGTAGTATCTCAGCGTATTGGCGCGAAGCGCCATTAACTGATTCATCTATACTGGATTAGGCGTATGCTGATAAGTCATATGTACCTATAGAAAGAAGTAAAATAAAAGTGATTCACAGCGGTGAACTGTGAAAAACAGGTTAGGGAATATCCTGAATGAGAAGTGAGTCCAGAATCATTTTTGTGACTCAGGAAGCAAGGAACGAAGGAGCTTAACAAGCTCTTTGTCCTGGAGGAGTTCTTTCATCTCTTTGAAGAGGTTCAGGAATCTGCTGGCACTATCTGTGGCTTTCACTGGGCGGGATTTTCTGTTTTTCGGCACCTTCCTGGGTCTTGCATCGAAGCCTGAAAAACAGGCTGGGTGCTCACCATTGCAGTTGACACAGGTGGCTGGGGTTGTTCTAGGCTTCGTACACTGGTACGTGAGATGTGCACCGGCGCATTTCATGCAGGCAGGGTTGGGAGAAGTGCAGCTTAGTTGTGCATGTCCAAATTATTGACACCGGTAACACTGTATCTGGAATCTTCCTCCACGGAAGAGTTCTATTCTCACATTCTTTTCTAGTACTGATGTTGAAGATTTTTCTGGAGTCACTGTTGTCCAATTGGATAGCCAGAAAAAGTGGGAGGGGCCTAAGCTCCTGACCACTCCTTCTTTTGAGTTGAAGTATTTTCTCTGGTAAAAGTCCAAAGTTTTTCAGGTGTTTTTCCAATTCTTGTAAATCAGAGTCTATATTCAATCCTCTAATCAGGGTCTTTAGCTTTTTACTCGAAGAGTTGTTAGTAGATGTAGTTGGAGTGGGAGGGTCCACCGTCGCCGGGGCTTCGGTTTCTTTCTCTGTCACCGCCGGTACTGGTACCGCAGGGGTTGCGAGAGCTTCAGCTGGGTCTGGGTGGTTTCTTTCCCCGTGTGATTCTAAGTCGATTTGCATCGCCGTGTTGACGCAAGTCTTGAGCTTCTTTTTCTTCTTTTCGGGGCAGCCCGGAGTTTCTGTTGTTTCCATAACAGAAGGATTCTGTTAAATTTCTATAGACTCTAAGCTGGTTGTGCAGTCGATGCTTTCAGGCTCTGGGATATCCATCTTTTCTACCGGAGTCAGAGTAGGCTCAGTCTGCACAGGAGTTTCAGTCTCAGTGATTGTAGTTTCCATCTTTTCAACTTCCTCAGACTTGGTTGATTCCTTAGCAGTCCATTCCTCTTTGATCATCAGGTAGCGTTCGAGTTGATATTCCATTCTGAACTTGTTCTCGCACGCAGTGTCGTTGTTGCCGCGTTTAAGATATCCATTGTACTCCTCTACGGCATTTCTACAGAAGTCGATCATCTTATCAATATTGTCAGGGGTAGCCTTTTTATCAGCATATCCATAACACTGTTTTCTGATTTCATCATGGTCTAAGACAGGGCTAAGGAGAATCGAAGGGCTGGTTCACTCCTTTGAAGTAACTCTCGCCACGCCAATCCTCCGATTTTCTCTAGTGACGTCACTTTTGGCGCAAAGCTCACACTTTTACTTCAAGAACAGAGCGTTCGGCCTTGCTATCTCTAACTAATATTGGAGCATTTCTTTTTGTGACATATTCTAAGACATTTGTTATTTTCTATAATGACTTTCCTCAGCTTTTGCCGTGAATTTACAAAATTTTAAAACTATTAACGAAATGCCAGTTTGCGCGATTGCAACTTGCAAAATATAATTTTCAGCGTGTTCCCTAAAGTAAATGAACAACCATGTAAAGAATAGACTCCGAAATGACACAGTTAATATAAAACAGCAATACGTTTTTTCTATCGTTAAGAATTTTATAAAATTTCGTTATCTAAATAGAAACCGCCTCGTTACTTCAAAAAGAAAGGCATGTGAAAAAAATTAAAAAATGGATAAAGTCAAAGAATATTTTAATTTTCTTTGTAAAAAGTATACGTACAAGTATTACGTAAAGTACGTAAGTAAAAAGTATAAATAAAATATATAGTGTGCAGTTGAAATTCTCCTAATTTCATAACTTATTTTTTTAATGTAGTTATTCTAAATATTTATGATTCTTTTGAAAATTATATTCTCTTGAATTTAAACATCTATAAATTATATCAATCTTAAATTTAAATATTTATAAGCAATTGTAAAATTTCTAATGTCATTATGAACTTAAATTATTATTTTGTTTCAGTAATTAGCGTTTAAGGTTAATGTTTCCTAATGATTAAGTATGAACAAATTGCTATTAACGACATATTTTAAAATCAGGGATTCTAAATTTAACTTAACTTATCTTTATAAAAGAATATGTAGATAAAAAAAGTGTCGATATATGCCTTCATTTTTCTTAATAGTTAAAGTTAAAACTGAACTTTTTAAAATAAAGTATTTATCGTGTCATTTTCACCAACTAGCAAAACATTTTTATAAGTTTAAAATGGTATTTTTTTAATATAATAACCAAGAAAGTTTTTTTTGAACTATGTTTATGAACGGAAATAATGTGTTAATTACGTAAAGTTTGAAAGCTAATAGCCAGAAAAAGTCTAAATTATTTTTATGAAGAGAAAGATGCAAAGTTATTATAATATCTTTGCGTGCGATCTTCCGAGAT